TTAATATGTAAACGCCTTCCTCAACTCTCTACATTGCATGTAACAGAAAATGAGGCCCTGAGAGTTTGTCACGATACCTCTCTGTGAAAGCTGTATATGCAGTGAAGTTCTGTGCTGCTGCCAGTCCCCAAGTCATCACGACAAATAACACACAGGTCCAAATCTTCCTCCTTCAAGTGAGAGGAAATTTTTATCAGTCTTAAATGAGCTCAGGTCAGAAATGCTTTTGATTAGGTATTTAAATTGTAATGAATAACCTGAACAAGTGGTGAACATTATGAATTCTGTTTGTTGGCCATATAGTTGACACCTGGATTATACTGCTTTGGGACTGAATGGAAAATCTGTTGTCTGAAATGACCTCATCTCCAGCTGTGGGTACACAGAACTTGGCACATAGGAGAAGGAGTTCATGAAAATTTTTTGGTATCCCACCTTCTGGGCTAACCTGTGATTTCAACTCCTGCACAGGTGAGAGCAGCCCAAAGTTGCTTTGTTCTCCCTGAGGACCTTTTATTGCTGCTGGGAGCGCCAGCGCAAATGAATGCCCTAGCCGTTCCTCCCTCGTAGGCATAAACTTGTGCTAGCTGTGGGAAGGCTGACCTAAAACCACTCTAGCTGCTTTCTGACAGCCAAAATTCTCTGTATAAGGGTCGTCAGGGAGTAGACCCACTAGATTCAAAATACTTCATGTGAGACATTTAACATGTATTTTGTGCTTATAGGAAGAGCAGAATATCAACTGCGATCCATTGCATAAAGGCCCAAGAAGAGTTGTTTGCCGAAGGACCTAACCTTAGCATCCACCCTGTACAGTGGGATATGGTTGCAGGGAAGCCCAGGGGAACAGTGTCCATGAATCCGTCTGCTCAAGCTTTGGAGCAAAAAGAGAGCTCCTTTTTGATACTTCGGTAATAGGAGTAGGACTAATTCACTGAGAGAGGCTGAGCGCACTGTGTAAGGACTCCATGCATTTTCTGATGAAAAATCATGTATGACTGTCACAAGTTTTGGTGGACCTTCTCTATATAGCAAAACTCTATCAATCAGTTTAGAAATTGCAGGAACTAAAGCAGTTCAACAAACATATGAGAGGAAGAATGCATCAAATATGACAAAATATTAGTCTTTGATGCTCCCTGTATTGCTTCTTTCTCCTATTTCTGCCTGGACTGAGAAACAAGACACAGATGAGAGAATTTGTATTTTTCCAAAGTACAGTAGAGACTGGGCTAAGATTCAGAGGGAACCTCCTAGTAGGAGGAATATAATCTGTCAATCAAATCTAAAACAACAGGGTAAATGAAAAACAACACCCTACAAGCAATGCTTTTTATGATGAGTGGGTTTATTTTAGCATTTGTTCATACTCAGTTACCTAAAGCTCTGGCACAGCAACTGCAGGCAGGGCATTATCTATGAAGTTTGCTGGATTTCAATATTCACTTCTCTCTTTGAATGACTAGATTTTGGCTGCAATGTCCTTCTGGACCTATTTCAAGACCTATTTGTTTTCAATGTTTTTGGCAGATGGCTGTATAAACTCAAGGTCCCATGATTATGATTCATTTCTGTTTGAATAAATTTGATTATCAGATTTGATTATATTTCTATGTGATTTTATACTATTCATATGCATACCGAATGCATTCAGAGCCAGGGCTGTACTTACCCAAGAATCTTCCTTTGTGATAAAGAACAAAAAAGTACAGATGAACATTTTTGTTTTTTCATATTTAATTTTAGGATTCTTTCTTAATGGGTATTATATTCTTGTTCAGTTGTACATCATGGTTGTTTTGTTTTATTTATGCATTTAAATATTTCCCATTTTTTTCCAAGAAAGCAGTGTTGTGAGCACGTACAGAAATAGAGCTATTGCTTCATTTTGCCTTTGTGGGGTCTGTCATTTTATACACTAATATGTGATATGTTAACAAATACCCAAAATTTAATCCATTCTCAAAACCATGCTGCAATTAAACAATTCTTCAGAAGCATGCAAGCATAAGTATTTTGCTTTGGGAATGCCCACCTAAAAGATGAGGTAACCACACTTCATGTTCTCTTCTTAGCCCTCTCAGAAAACACTGGGGTGTAACTAGATCTTGCTCTTGAAACGCTTGTACGTACCCGTGCCCTGACTTGCCACAGGAGGACTTTCTAGTTAACCTGAATAAGTGGGAAGGATCCACAGAGACGAGCATTTTACCAGAGCACGGTCTCTCACCCAAGACACAAAGCAAGTTTTAAATGTCCTTCACAGTCCTCTGAGCCATGTCATCTTTCGATAGCCAGCCCACGGTGGAAGTGTCCTGCTAGTTCCCCTCTGTTGTAAAACTGTTTCAGGTTTTCAACATTATCTGTTAATGAGCATTTTGGAAACAATATTTTTTGGTCCCTTTGTGTTTGCTTCCTACTAACTGACCTTCTCCGTGTCCAAAGTTTGGGCTCTGATGCAACTTGTAGCCATCCCACTCTTGGAAAGAGCAGAAAAATCAAACAGTGTTTGCCTAGGAATGAGCGTGTGTGCAGAAAACGCCCACAGCCAGTCCAGCTGCCCTGAGAATTGGGGATGGGAATCAAAGTGGTGACTATGTCAGTCACGACCAAACTAGTGACCTACTGTAACAATGAAAACCCTCTGGAATCATTCTGGCTGCTTGTACATCCCAATTCTACTTTCTCTGGAAACAGAAATATCAGCCATGCTATTCTAATCAGATTGCTCTTCAGATGCTTACCTTCCTTCCCAAATGTCCGATCCGTTATGGAATAATTGTTAATTTCTGTGGGGAATGATTTAATTCTATCATGCAAGTTTCAGTCTCTCTAACTAATACCGTTATATCAGACTACATGGGACTAAACTGGAAAGAGCTGTTGGTCAAATCAGGCATGATATGAAGCCAGAGGAAACACTGCTGAGTAAGCAGTTTTTAATGATTTGGGGAGGACAGTGTCGGAGGTGTAATTTGAAAGCTTCTGTTTCCGGAGTCACACCACGGGGCTGATGGACCAGTTCAGAAAGGACATAAACACTTACAAACTCTCCCATTTGAGAGATGGGGTTTGGTGATAAACATGGGAGCTGTTTGCAGGCAGACCTGCTAGGCTCTCGGTGGCAGCGAGGCTTGCCTGCGCTTTGATGGAGATGGTGAACAGCAAGTTGGAGTCAGACATGCATGGGTTTTCTATTTTAGCTCTTTTTGGTGTTTTCTTTTCATCAGGTGTGGTGTACAACCAGTGCATTAGTCTCACGAATACAAGTTTTTTGCAAATTCTGCTGGAATACAGCTGGGCCTGTTGAGTTAACCTGGCTGGAGAACAGGAGGAGAAGGCTGATGCTCTGAAATTCAGGCAAAGCTGGTGCAGCCGTGGCATTCAGTTCTCATGAGATGTGAGGGCAGGCTGCTACATGAAAGGATGTACGTGAGAGCTTTTATCTGAGGAACTCAGGCATATGTCCCTTTCTATCCAGGTCTATTGTAATGCAGTCTTCAAATTAAGGCTATAAAAGGAAAGCCATCTGCATGGAAGTTTTGACTGACAGAAGACCTTCATGAAAATCCAATCTGGATTGTGGATGACAGGAACTGTGCATAGGAACAACGTTTTCAGATAGATTTATTAGTTTATAATATCTATTACCAGGCAAGAAGCAATTTACAAGCATCAGCAAGGGTTTCATTGCTTTCTTATATGTCCCTCAAAGCCCTACTTAAAAAGAAAAACTAACCTTTAAAGGAGATAAGTATTACAAAGTTTTAAGGATGCCCTAAGCTTTTAAAAGGTTGAACATTCAAAATTAAGGCTCTAAAGTAAAATAATGAGATCTTTGTTAATTAGAGAAAATCACAGGAAAAATACCCAGAAGACTTGGACCTTTGATCATGACTTCCTTAGTCTTCACTCTTCCCTAGCTGGACTATCCAAAACAGGCTTTCTCTACACTAGGCCTGAGGAAATTATTCTTAAAGAGGGCAGGGTTCTTCTCTGCAGGGAAGACTTACATGTTGAAGAAGGAGGGCATGGAGGGGTTGTGGGGGTGTGTATGTGTTTATGAGTGTGTGGAGGTGGATTTCCTCTGCATAAAGGAAATTTATAGTTGGTGAGATTCACAGTTGAGTTCAGATCTTCAGCCAGAGGAAACAGAGTGTTCCTAAGCCCTGCATACCATAGACAGACACAGTTCCCATTCCCTTGGTTTGGCCCTACTTCTAGAAAAGGGAAAAGGTGCAAAGGGTTGCAACCCATCACCTGTAGCAACCCCCTTGAAGAGATTATATAGAAGTGTGAGAGGCAGAACATCTCTTTTTACTGGAGAACTTTAAGCGAGGCTCAAATTTTGATGGGGCAAAACTAGAGATGTAGCAAAAGACATTGGTGGCCATGAGATGGGGCTATAAAGTAGTAGATGGAGATGAGGAAGGCCACAAAAGGGACAAGATGATGATGTTGAAATTGGGAGAAAGAACTGGTTGTGTGGCTGGGGAAACAGGACTGGGGACATAGGAGAGAACTAGGGAATGCCAAAGAAACAAAAGTCATTGACAGTGACAGTGAGGGAAAGCAAAGAGAAGTGAAACATCAGGAAGGTGTAGAAGAGAACCCAGGGGCTTCTATTACGCCTGTAAATGTGGTGTTAAGAGAATTTAAAAGAAAAAAGATACCTGTTTCCAAGCCAAATCAAAGTGAGTGTCAGGGCCAGGAAGCAGGTGGGGGTTTATGTGTAGTTTTTCCTTCCTAAACCTATCAATAAACCCATTTTAGATTAGAAGAGAAGCATAAGTCTTTGGATTACTTTGCACAGTAACACATACATGCCCTCCTCTTAAATAAACACATCCACCACTGTCTTGCTGCAATGCTAAATCTGCTGAAACCCTCTTATGGTGGTTCATTACTAACTTGGATCTTGTTCCAGATACACTCCTCCTATGACAAGGGTTGCATTCCTAGTGGAAAAAGTACAGGCAGGAAGGTAGTAACATGGTGTCAATGATGCAGCTGAATTTTACTTTTATTTTACAGGTCAGGATTTATTCTAGCTAACAGGCCACTTCTAGTCAAAACAAAAAAGGAATGCTCCCTCTGCTCTTCAGGGAGAGTGTAAAAATTCATTACCCCAATACATTCTAGCTGCCTGTGCATAAATATCTTTTCTCAATGCTTGCTTGTGATGGAAACTGTTCGTCGTGTTTTGCAGGTACAACTTCTGAACCTCCATCTTCGTTCTGCCCTCCTCTTGGCTCTGATTTCTCTTCCATTCTCTTATGAGACTTGCCTTTTCTCAAAGGCAATCTCTCTCTTTCTCTTTTCTCCTTCATGCCTTCAGGTTGCTAAAAAGCAGGAGAAAAATAGCAGGGAATTAAATGCAACACCCACATGAACAATAACATCTCATTATTTTATTTCACTAGTAATGTATAATAAAATATTCCAGTTACCTACCTCAGCCAGATCAGCTTTAACATGACGGGCTCAAATTCAAGGCCCCAGCCAGTCACTCTAAAACTCAGCAAGAGTCAACATGCTTTTGATTTTGATCTATATATGGTAGGAGGGTCACCTGTCTGGAGGGCTTGAGGAGGGAGAGGAGAAAGGAGGGAAAGGAGAAGGGAGGGACTCTCAGATTTCAGCCCAAACTCCATGTTTCTGTCCTTTCATATGATCCATCTTTATGTGTCTGAAGGCTGCTCAGTGCTAGTTGCAAAAACCTCACTGAAAACAAGTGCTGAGGGTCATAAAGTGTCCTCAAAGACACTTTTGTAAGGGAAAAGCAATATGCAGGGAAGGAGATGAAATGGGATTACCTTTCCCTCACTTTTCTTTTCTTTTGACCCATGTAGTCATGTAAAGGGTGGTTTGAATTGCACTCACAGAGCTCTGAATGCAAAAAAATGCTCCATTTGGAGCTACAAGTGTAAGCCCACTCCCAAACTTCCTTTCAGATCTCAAAGACAGTTCTTCAAGATTCTCAAGCCCTTCACATCTCCCAAACTTCAACGGTTACTGAGGGAATGACAACAATTTAGTCTACTTGAAAGGTAGATTAAAATACAGCCCAGCACACCTCACTGTGGATTACAGGAGGGTATTAGATCCCATATTTTTAACTGGAACTGAAGCCGTATTTAGTGCAATGTGCTCACTGTACCTATCATACAACTATTACCCACTCACAGACTTTCTAGCCATAGGCACTTTTGAGAAATTATAAATGATAAACCAGACAACCACTGGTGAGGGTTAGCAAATGAGGCAATGTGAAGTTCCAAATGAAATCAATTGTGATAGGTCCTAAAGGGGAAAAAGAAGATTAGAGAATCAACTTAAAATCTTAACAATTGCATAACAGAGTTATCACCACAATTCTGCATATTCTTAGAGGACTGGGCATGCAAGGATGATAATTGTAGGACTGATCATGTAATGATACTGCTTATTGAAAAGGTATTTTTTTTCCTTTCTTGTTGCTGCACAGAAGGCCTGAAAAGGGAGCTGAAAATTACTCCTCCACACAAAACCATCAGTGTCAACAAACTAAAAAAAAAGACACTACCCTCTGTTGTTGTTTGGTGCTAATGTCAAGTGTTATTCAAGCACATCTTTTTTTCAATAGTGTTCTTCCGATACTTAAAAGCTAGTTAGGGTTTATTACCCTTCCTTCCGTTGTATGATACACCAGATAGTTTGTATCATAATAATAAAAATGTGTTAAATTTTCATAGACAAAAGGTTGTTATTGGCTACTTCATCAACACAAACCATACAGAAAACGCTCATGCCTTAGGACAGAATGATGGGGAGAAGAGAAGGACGAAATGGAGGAAGAACCCCCTGCTGGCTGCATGCCCTTCCAGAGAAAAGACGTTCAGCCACTTATGGCAATGGCTGCCGCTGCAGCTGTGTGGTGACATTGAAGGAAGCAGATGGATGGAGTCCCAAGGGGCAGCCTCTCAAACATCATGATGTCTGGCAGTCTCACAGGTAACACTGTATATGGTTAAACCAGGTCAGCAGCAGCGAGACAGACGGGCCTTACGGCAAAAGTGAAGCAAACCTAGTTTTATATTGTCATGTTTTGTTGGCACAGCTGTAGAAACCTCTGAAAACATTGCCACAGCCAGTGCGGTGTCTCATTTTGAAGATAACAATTTTTGAATAAGTCTAGATGGTAACACTACATCAAGAATTCTCATACTAACGATATTACCACTTTAACCTTGGTTGGTGCTACTGTAAGGACCACATAATTTGAGAGATCCTAATTCAAGCTTATTTCTGCTCTTCCCTCAGCAAAGCCACAGCAATTTCACCAGGGATAAAGCTGGCCTGCTTGTTAGTTGGTTGTTTTGGTTTTTTTCCTTCTGAAATGATCTTGAGTTGGTTGTTACCTACCAAAGAAATTGAGCGTTTGCTTTTAAGATGCAATTGCTTTTCAAAGGACTCTGAAAATTCCTGGATGGAGTTTGATCTTGTCTCTGGGCATGAGCTGCCTGCTGAAGGTGTTCTGCTTGCCTTCCTGTGGCAGTGGCATTTGACATCTTGGTCTTCTTGAAATTCCTTGGAGCCCTTGAGATGGCCTGAAGATGAACCTTTAGTAGAAGCATGAAGTCGTGTTGTATGGAGGGAGGAAAGCCTAGCCTGAAAAACAAGAGGTCTTTGTTGAGTATTGAGTATTGAATATTAAAGCAGAGCACACAGGGCAGATTCCCTCTGCCACAGAGTGCGCTCTGAACAATGGTGCAGAATGAAGGACCTTGCCCAAACTCCTGTAACTTTCCTTTTACGTGCAGGACAATCACACTGCCAAGAGCTTGCTTTTTCCAGGGGCAACAGCAGAATTTGCTTTTGTTCCTGTTTTTGAGTATCAAAGTTTTGGCACTCAGATGAGCATTTCAATTGTAAAGCTTGCTGGATCCCCTTAGTGCCCACTGACACTAAAAGGAACTGAGACTCTTCATAACCTCAAAAATTCAGGCCTCACACCTGGTGGCAGGTTCTAGGCGGGACTCTCAAAAAGCAAAGACCCAGCCTTTTGTGGCCAGGTGAGCTAGATACTGGGTTTGACCTGCAGGTGCTCCAGGTCTTATCAGATATTTGAGTTCATTTGAGTGTGACAGGGACCATTTCTATCCCAGTGTGTCAAATCTGCAGCATGGCTTACATGCAGACATGATGGTCTATTGTCCAGGTCTGAATTTTCTGCTGGTTTCTTGGGCACGTTTCTCCTGAACTGATGAGGGAGCACTTTCAGAGCACTGAGGGATGCATCCCTATCACAGAAATGGTAGGAAACAGACTTCCTACAATTACATTTATAGGGCTAAAGTAGGGAGGGAGTAGACAATTATTTAGTTTCCATGTGGTTCAATTTTCCCAGGCCTGACATGCAGATAAAAGCTATTGATCTGCATCAGCTGTGTTTAACTGAATGTCTGTAAAGGAGATTAAACTGATACAGAACAGCTGTGTCCTGTGGAGTCATGTATTGGTGGTTTTAGAAATAGGCAGAGCTGTAGAAGAGATGGGTGAGGTGGCCACCACTTACAGCCAGGCATGTCCCAAACCCTGCCACCTGCTGGTGATTTTTCAGGTTTAGTTGCTGGGCACTGGTAAGATGCAGACAGGGAAAATTGTGAGAGAGAGAGAGAGATGGGAGGTACCGAAAATGAGACCCCCACAGGTGTCAGGTTAGGGCACTCCAGGCACCCAGCTCCTTGAATGAGCCTGGTGCGAAGCCTTCAGCTCCTGAGTAACCCTGAGGAGCTTTGCTGGCTTCAAGGGAGCTGTGATTGTTTATAACAACTGAAGGTCTATCCTGCAAATCCTGAAATGCTTTCTAAGAAAACCCAGTAGAAAACCCTACGCTCAGAGTAGTGTTTGTTTGGGGTTTTTAACAAACAACACTGGAAAGCTAAACCAGCTCGGTATAGTGGCCACGTGAATCTACAAACTTTGGACTGCAAGGGACCTGAAACATCTCCTGTACACACTTGGATTTAGGCTGACCCAGATGCTATTGTAAATGTATCAGCACAACAAGGACCTGTGCAGCCTTTCTCTGAATAGTGAGGCTGTGCATCCATATGGCTGTGACTATGTCACATTAGACAGGCTTGATGAGAGGTGCTAAAAATAATAAATCTTACACCTGACAGGAACACCTAATACCAAAGGGTTTTCATGTCATATGGTACTGGTTCAATATCTTTTCCAGACATAAGCTTACTTCGGTAACTAGTATTATGGCCTGCCTCTGAGAGTAGTGGTAATGATTTCTGCCGCGCTATTTTTACTTTGGTTTCAAACCAGTCAATACAGCTGTATCTTCTGTAAGGTCATATTGTATTGTTATTTTAAAAAGCATCAAAGTAATCACATTGTGCTTGAGGGACAGGAGGACACACGCTATGTCAAATTCAACAAGCTAAATGTCTTCTGTGTCATTTTAATGGCATCAATTTATATTGTTTCCTGGAAATAAAAATCGTCTCACACTAAAAATCACTGGTATTTGTTCTTAGAGGGTTTGAGCAAGAGGACAGCTGAAATGGGGGGTGGTATTCTCTCAATCCTGTTTTGCAATGTTTGTAAATATTTTATTTTACTAAGACATTGCTTCTTAATTTCTCTTCACAGCTAGAATTACAGATAAGTCCTTAATAAAAAGACTGCAGTTCACATACTGGCATGGCAGCAATGGTCCAGAAAAGAGGCAGGCCTTCCTCTGAAATGCGTATCTGCCTCAAAGGACTAAAGGTAAAGCTACACATACCTATCTCTGCAATCATATTACCGTGACCGTGCCCCCCTCACAGTGCCCTTGCGTGTTACATACCGCTGTAGCTGGGAGGACAGCATGCTCCCGCATGTCAGCGTGTCGCTGTCCTACGGACACAGCCCTACAGAGGGCAGGAGCCTTAATACATTTCATGACTTATAATTAGCACAGTACATTCATTTGTTTGTTTGTTTTGTGGTGGGTTTTTTTGTTTGTTTTTTTTTTTTTTAAGATTGACACTGTGGAGAACAGAAAGAGTCGTAAAATGAAGCTCAGCGATGAAGCAGATCTGGCACTGGCTTGAGGTAAAATCCATGTGGCTTTCTTCCTGTTTCTTAGATTTAATACATGCATTTAATACCCGCCTTTGGTGGCAAACTGATTGCTTGGTAACATTGTATATAAGAATGGCTGAAGACTGCTTTAAGTTACGCTTCTCCTCCTGAAGTCTCAGCAGCTGCTGGCTACAGATAGTCCCTCTGTATCTGCACGCTCTGCGGTCCTAGGACACGTCTTACCCTGCCCAAGGTCTGTGAGCACAGCCCCAGAACCTGCTCCTGTCCTCGCCCCCCCCGCCTCATGCCTACAGCTTGTGCCTCTTTAGCAAACTCCCCTCCGTCTCTGGCTCCTAGGGTCTGCCCTTGGGTAGTTCTTAAGCTGGAGAAGTGGGGAGGAGGCAAAACAAGGGAAAAGGCATGGGGAGGAGGAGTGATAAATGCTCCCCTGTATCAAATGGGGGAATTTTTGCTAAAGCTGGGAAAGCCAGAAGCACCAAGCCTGTTCTCAGGGGTTCTTTCTCCCTCCCTTTAGTACTCCCTTTTCCTGCTCCAGCCTTTGTGTAAAGGCCAGTCCTGCTTGGTGTATCTATTTACACAACACCTAATCTTTTGCTAATTGCCCAGCTAAAACACACAAGAAGTATACAAACAAAAATACCTCAAGAAATATATGTCAATATAATTTGCCTGCTCTCTCTCTCTATTGCTGATGGAGATAATTGCTTCCATCTTTTGGGCTTGATCTGAGGGCTTGCACAGCTGTCAGTAAGAAAATTAATCTTCAGTGTGTCAGCACGAGCTTTCATTGTTTGCTGAAGTTTATACAGTGACCCCAGTACTTCAGGGATAATTTGGAACATCTGACATACAGATGCCATCCCACAGCTTGCTTTCCTTCCGGAAAGCTTATAGCCAAGCATATATTCCTTAAAAATGTTTTGACCTAGGCGCCAACTGTTCTGTAGTAACAATATTGTGGTAGATGTTTGGTCTGACTTTTGTTTAGATTAAATGTTAGTAACTTCAACAGCAGTCAGTTGCTTGGCTCCCACTCGCAGCTGTTTCTTATCAGATTTTTTTGCCATGAGCAGCAATGTCTACTTGAAGGTGGATACATCTATAGGGTTGTAAAACTCTTATCAGTGCTCCTTTGCCTCCTGTCTTCTCCCCACAACAAAATGTCTGGGAGGAAAGAAACTGTCCTGAACCAAAATGTTGGAGGATAACTAGAATGTGTCAAGGAAAGTCGTAGCTGGAGGCTTCAGAAAGGGTATCACAGTTAACGTGTATAAAGTTTGCCAGGGGAACAAGTTAACTAAAGGAGATGAAAACAGATGACTTGGTTCTCCCCAGGCAGCTTTCACATCCACTGTTGACCCACAGCAACATATACAACTCCGACACTTTTCAGGGGAGTGGAGTTGCAAGGTTTAGCCTGTCTTGTCAGTGACCCAGTGAAGGACGAATACAATTTTGTGTTCCCCTCTGCAAAATGGGAACGAAAATAGCTAAAGCATTTTGTGAAGCTCATCTCAGGTAATGTTTGTGAGCTATGCTAAGATATTGGGGGGAAAAAAAAGAAAATTCTTGTTAGTTTGGGAGTTGTTCTACAAAGATTTATCCATATTTTGTGGGAGTCTAATGTGATAGGATGCCACAGGAGTTTACCATTGTGTTTGAGGTGAGAGTAGGGGCTTGAGCGTCTTCCTACAGCATAGGAAAAACTACAAAGACCAACATACCAATTTGGAGCTGAAAGCTATTTCCAATGCTATGCAAAACCACCTTTTGTGCTATACTGTTAGCATTTTGCTATGTAATGCCAAAACGCTCCTGGTGCAGGTGCAGTTCATATGCACAGGACTGTGCTATTGCTGATGCAGCATATACCAGCCCTGGATACGAGACAAAGTCTGTTGGTGGTGCTATTTTGGCAGTACCGTTGTATCTGTACGAGGAATTTTTGCCAACAGCTGTGTCAGAACCTGATGGCTTGATGTTCACCAGGACAGCTGTGTTATCTCCATTTACGATGTTGACACAGAAGAAAAGGTACAGTTGTGAACTGCTGTGGAGGTATTAACTTGCAGAGGAGACGCAGTCTGATCTCAGTTATTAATCCTCCTGATTAATAGCACCGTTCTGATGAAATGAAGACAATATTTAACTAACACTGATAACTACTATGAGGTTCAAAACACTTATCATTTGTAATAATGACTCTTACAGTTATCATTTATAATAACTGTGTAAAAAATACACAGGTGCAATAACAAGTTGTTGCTCTCAACAAGGAGATGTTCTTTCTGGAGGTATTTCTAAGGAATTATTAGTGCCCGTTTGTTTAACTTCCAGATTTGGTATAAGACTACATGTTTTAGTGCTCTTCACTACCAACTAGGCAGAGATTCCAAATAAAAAAGTTTAATCTCAAAATTTATCCCCAAATCATAAAATCTCCAAACAAATCTTCCCTTCTCATTCCTCCAGTCAGTTTCTGGTACTGAGAAATAAAGCAGTTGAAATTCATATCTCTTGTATAATACTACTGGAGCAAGACAAATTTGTGTGGAGCAGTAATGTAAAATCCAGACATAATTAAGTGTACAGGATAACTTTAGCTCATTGAACAGTAATGTCAAAAGTCACAGTCTTCTTTCTGTCAGCTAATTTAATCCAAGTTCTAGGTGTTGATTCACAGATGCAACTATAGTGAAGTATTTGAGTAGCTATTAGCTAAGTATTTAAATAGCTTTTGAACAAACTGAATATAAGAGCATGCTTCAAATGAAATGTATGTGTACACATACAAATACATACACAAATATAATACGAAGATGTGTTTAGCAGCTTTCTCACTAGGCAGTGATTTAATGTACATTCTTACACTTCAGTCTGTATTGCGGCCTAAAGAAATCACATATGTGTAGATCTCTGAAGGACAAAATTAAAATACAGTAAAATTAATAAAAAAAAATTAATAAACATTCTGTTTTCAGGCATTCTGATGGAATCCATGAGCACAGCTCTAGCTCAGAGTCTGTCTTGCTATCTGTGACCGGGGTGAAATAGAACTGTAAATAACAATTGTGGCTGATCAGTTCAAAACTAATGGTTGAAGGTTACCTCTCCAACGCATTCACGAATTCAAAGAGGAGGGAGGTGGTTTTGGTCTGTTTTGTTTTTCTTAGACAAATTTTTTGAAGAAGAAAAATCCCACAGCTGAGAACATGGCAGCTCCAGTGGAGGAGAACTTGCAAGGTGAAAACATAGCATGGAAGGAAAAAGGTCTGGAAAAGTTTAGCTGTTTCTCCCCAGTAGAATAGCATTTGCTTTGTTGCAGCTGTAAGAATATCTAAGTGAAAAATGGTTTGTAAGGAAACATATCTTTGGTAAGCCAACTGATGTAGCTGGAAAAAAAAAGAGACAGTTTGGACCACCTAAACATTTTTTAGGGCTGAAATAAAATCAACAGCCTTCAAGTAAAGAGCAGACTGGGAACAGCTGCTTTCAGTTTAACTTCATTTTGACAATAGGTTGGACAGTTGTGAACTGCCTTTAAAAACTGCCTTTGCATGTGAACTCTGCCCCTTTCCCAATTATTTTGTTGGTTTAGGAATAAAGAACGTGCTTCTCCCTTAAAGTCTTACTTCACAAGTGTAACGTTATGTGTTGCGTCCTTATTTTCAGAGTCAGATGTTTCAAACAAGGAGGGATGGCATCCTCTAGCTTAAATTAGAAGTTACACCCAAAACCAGCTAAATCCCAGGTAGTAAAGCGTACAACTTCTTGGAGATGGTATAGTTGCAAAATTAGGTCCAAATGCTGTGAATATGTACAGGATTATGTAGTTTTACACATGAGAACAGACTCACAGAAGCCAATGTTTGTGTGTCAGTTTCCAAAATGTTTTGATCTCTGCCAGGTCATGCTTGGCAGACACAACAACATTGTAATGCATAGGTAGTTATTATACCCTTCTCCTTACATTTCTGGTCCTATCATTTCTTATCTTGGAGTTTGCCAGTTTTCTTGTATTCCAAAAAGCACCGGAGGCCTGATTCTGGTAGGGAGCTAAGTTCAAAAAGCAACTAGATGCTGCCAGTAGGAGCTGAGCTTGCTCAGCAAGATGTACCATACTCATCCTCACAGACCTCTAGGGCCATGCCTCTAGAGGGGGGCACTTATATTTATACATAAACCACACACACACACACACAGAGAAAACTGCACACAGCTCTTACCGGAAGGGAGGCTCTCCTTTGACTAAAGGGTTGTGTCTGACGTTTCTTGTGGCCTCTACCCTCTTTCTCATTCTCATCAATCAAGTTGTGGCCCCAGAAGCTGCTCATCCATTTTGCAAAGGAAATGTCATCATCCTCTTCATATTCCATGTACAGACCCTCCAAACTTGGGGGTGTCTCCCAACCAGACAAGGAGAAGCAAGGTCAAATGCCACCTCCAAGCCAATAGCCTCACACTGTTCTGCCAACAAGAGGAAGAGGAGATGCAGTTTCAACTACTCTTTCTGCTCTCCATCCCCAAAACTCATCTCACTGCAGCCCTAGGCACTGTCTAAACATAAAGTCAATCCTTTCTGATCTCTTTTCAACAAGGTTTCTTTCAACCTTTCCATTACAGAGATGTCCAATATGACACTGCCGCAGGGGGCTGTTGGGAAGGGAAATGTGTTGGCTGATCCCTGTGTGTTGCTGTTGAGTGCACCAGCTGTCAATACCAATGGGGAATTGCCCACAGTTACATGCCTGGGAGGTGTGTACATGAACCCAAAGTAGGCTTGTGATTTTGAGAAGCAGAATTGACATATTGATGGTGGTCAGAAGTTGGCACAGCTGCTTGCAGATGCCTAACTGGCTCTGTGGGAGTGAGGACAAATGGCCTGCTCTTCCCATGTTGCTCTCCCTCCTGACTTCTGTTGTCTCGGCTCTTCCTTTGGTATTCAGGAAAAATGGTCTCTCTAGGGCCCTGCCCTGAAGAAACCGCTTGTTCATTTTTGGGTTATGACAGCCAACGTGAATTTCCATCCTCTTTCCACCAGAGTCATTTCATCTGCCATATCAGCGTTATGGGAGGCCCTACCTCACTTGAAGGCACAAAGAGTAAAGATGGGTCCGATTCCTCCTTGCCAGCCCTGGGTGTAGGCCATATATGCCCTGCCTATACCATAATGCAGAACAGGGCTGCAGGCTGTTTTCTGACCCTGAGACCGAGTGGCTAGACTGGTCACATCTACCCTACATGGCACTTGTGCTGTCGGTCTTCTCAAGGCTGTATGTAATGAACTATGGCTGTAATACTTTCTTGTAATTTGTGTGTCTTTTATGTCACAATAACTGATATAACAGGAAAACTCTGTTGTGGCCCATAAAACTGTTGTTTGTATAGTATGAAACTGGAAGATGCGTTACATGCCTTGGGATGTGTCAGAAGGACACGGAGTGCTTTGAGGCTGTACAGCCTGTTGGGATAGTGTTGGAACAAGAAGAAGAGACCCAAATCTAACTTCTTAGTGGAAGCAGTCCTTGGTGTGTGCTAGGTAGCTAGAGGTTCTCCTGGTGCCTAGCATTGCTGTAGAGATGCTAGTTGTCCTCGGCCAGAACTACGCCAAAAGCTTGCTGACAATTTAGCATTACGGAGAATCAGTTGTCTAGCATTAAACCTTGCTCCTTGTTCTCAGTCTGTTTAGCAATACAGATGTAGTAACAAAACTCCAGTTTCATTCATGAGGGTGTGAGGTTTAAGTACAATACTCTGATGTAGGACTCCTCGTTCTGAAAAATAGGGGTGAAGGGACCAATTGATCATGGATGCCTATGTGCTGGTGTTCTACCTTGTCCAGTGCAGATGAGACCGTGATTAGCACAAGGACCTGGAGTACATGGATGTGCAGATGGCATAACCTCAGATATTGTGTATCAGATCTTGGAGACACAACCAAACCTGCAGCAGGCTGCTTTCTTGTCAGAGGCACAAGTGGATAAGAGTGAGAGGACTACCTGCAAAACAGTACAGTAATAAGACACCCGGAGCAATAAAAAGGACATGTAGGCTGATTCTCCAGGTGGGGAAGAACACTCCTGGCCATCTTCTAATGGCCTAAATTTGACTTACGTCCTTGAGGCTACCAGTCTGTACAGGCAAAGTACATCAGAAGGCCTATGCTAGCTCATAGGAAGCATCATGTGGGTGGAATTTAGGCTGTCCCAGTAGGAAGCTATCGGCCTGTTGATATGTATTTTCTATTGTATGGTTCAAGTTTCTTCTTTTCTGACATGTAAGACAGAACTGCAGCCTGTTGTGTGGAGTAGGAAATGCTTATGCCATGCTGAGACAGGTGACATGGAAAAGTGGGAGAGACGCTGTCCCACAGCTTTGGCAAAATATGCTTATGTAAATAGCAATAATCCATAAATTAAGGGAGAAACAGCTCAAGCTGTTTACTACCAGGCACCAAGTTATGTTGACTCATAGTCCAGCAGGCCAACTTTTAGTTGGGCTCTTGAGGTATTTGCTTTGCAAACTTACTGTGGTTTTTATTTTCAGTCCTTTTTTTCTTCAGTGCAATATATGTCTTCACACATATTCCATTTCCCTCCCACCTACAGTGACATTTCTAGGTATGAGATGACCAACATTATCTGAGTATAAAAAACTATCAAAGATGATTCCTCTTCACCCTCAGCCGAGTGCTCCAGGGAAATAATTGGAGAAAGATAAGCTTATTCTGCCTACAGGTAAGGATGCTAAGTAGGCATAGACACACATATAAATAATGCAAACGTATATGCAACATATATAAAATTCCAGTATTGCATATTAAATTCGTTTTATGACAAATTCAATTAATAACTAAAAAAAAAGAAAAATGGCAGTTATAACAAGGATAATTTTGCTCCGAAATGTTCCAGTACAAAGTCCTAGGAACTCAGCATCAGTCCTAAACGTTAGCAGCCCAGAAACTCCTTCTGCACAAAATTAATCCGGACCTCAAGATACACTCAGAATTTTTAGGCCTGGGCTAATAACGTAAAGCCGAAGCAACTCCGTGCCTTGCACCCCCCCACCGCGCTGGGGCGCCCTCACATGGC